GTCATCCGAAGTATTCAACCGCGAAGCTTATACGCTAGAAGAAAGCCACTAGAGATTAACGCACGTGCAATATTGCAACGTTGCAGGTGTAGTGCGCACGTGATGGTAACGTCTGCTTAAAAATTCAAATACTAAAACACCATAATATCGCTCGGAATTTGCATTCATTCTAAGCTAACTTTTCTTCGGCCATAAAATCTTTATTATTCCCTACTATCGATATTGGTAAATGGATTTGCGATTTATAATTTTTTTTCATTTATTATCTAAGTTATTCGTAGGCATCCACATAATCTCTATCAAAATTTCAATTTATTAAATCTATCAAATTCATCCTAAAAATTATTACAAGTACTCAAAAGGATAAAAGCCAATAACAACAATTTAAAGTCTATATAATATAATAAATATTATGAATTCAACGTGTCTCAAAATGCAAATATATATTCTTCTCTATTACTTCGTGGCTTAAAGATCAATTTATCCTCCGAAACCAAAAAGGCGATATTACTAAATTTACGTTATCATCGCGATAAAAAATATCAACTATTTGAGGGGCAACTTTGCGCAAACTCGGGCGAAAAAGCGTCCGAGCAGGTGCAAAGGATTCGAGCGGACAGTTTTATCTCGGAAATAGAGCAGCAAGAGATAGAACGTGCCTTGATGACTCAGGCTAGGTTCCATTCTGAGAAGAGAAGAAACCTCAAGCGAGGGGGGTTTCGCTCTCGTATAGAAATTAGTGATAATTATATAGGACTAGCACCTGCACGCAGGTGCAAAAACTCGGGGAACGCTCGTTGCTGTCATGATGCTCGTGCTCTCTTGGACGAGCAGCCATGAGTCATTGTCGAAGAAAGAAAACATCTACCCGAACCGGATATACCTTCGGACATATATTCATATCACCAGTTGGTCTTGTCGATGACAAGCTAAAGCGGAAAACGAGTCATCCCAACAGAATGCATCTCATGACACTGATCCTAGCAAAATCGCAACAAAAAATTTCTTAATCTCAACACATATGAGATATTTAATAAACCTTTTAATTAATATACTATAATTAATAGATTTCTGACCGATTAATGTATTTCAAATTTTATATATATGTATACAGGGTATATCTAAAATAAACGCTCACTAATCACTTAGTGCTATTCCTATTTGAAAAAGTGCATGTTAAGGGGATCCTAAAACCGTCTGTATTGCCGATTAAATTGTAATTTTTGTATAACAAATACTTTTTTCTCTTTCACAGATTCGAAAATCCTTTTCCAGGATTAAAGTATACACATTAATACGTGTTTGTGAGGTGGAATACCGAGGTGGTTTATACCGAGAATGACAAAAAATTTCAAAATTGAAATCTTAAAACAAATTTTTTGTCGTTCTCGGCATAAACTACGGCATTTTAAAAAGATAACCTATTACGAAAAATATTATATAATATTTCAATCGGAATTTGAGAACTCGGATTTGAGAACTCCTGAATTCCATGTGGACGTCCTACCAATTCGATCACCAAGGCGTGTGATGATATTAATCGCAATAACCAGTATACATATATGGAAGAACATGTTTTTCAGATCACGTGAGATAAACAGTATTAAGTGAAATAGATCAAGAAACATTTAAACACAAATAAGAGGAGGAATTCCAAATGGCAAAAATGTTAATTGCATTTGTATAATTACATATGAATATTATTAAGCCCCAAGACCTGCTTTAATTGAAAATGGCATTTCTCCTTATAATAATTAAAACATTTGTACATATTCGTATAATTAGTATATCACAATGTTTTATAAATATAAGCAAGATTATTCGCAATATTAAAAGGTATATACAAAGAGTTCTAACATTTCGACTTACCCTTCAGCTGCGTGGTCTCAATTGCGAACATGTTCAGCGCCAAGAGCTGAAGTAAACGAGTACCAGGAAGCGGTAGTGGCGAGTGCTGCAACAAAGCTCTGAATTCCTTCAGCATTTGAACACCGGCTTCTTGAAAAGTCTCCATTCTGAAAAAAGAATATAATTTTTTTTGTATTCTTACAACGTTTGTATTTTGTAACATCAAAAAGTAAATCAACCTGACTATTATTAAATCTACCTTACTACTTTATTTAAAATATCAATTTTGAGGAAGCCAATTGACTAAAAATCGAATAAGAAAGAATAATGGAGAAGTTAAATAAATAAATTTTTTTTGTTACAGCACATCTTACAGTTAAATTTCTATTTATTTAACCTATTATTATCAATAAGTTAAATTTTAATGTTAAGCATTATTGATATATATATATGTAAACAGTCCGATATTGAATGGTGACAATTTTAGACTATTAATAAACAACGTTTGTTCGCTTTAAGCAATAAAATACATTTACATGTATTTATATATAGTTCAAAATAACAATATAAGTTTGATATCACTTAACAATATTCGTTAAAATCTTACATATTTTGGTAATTACAGAGTTCCTAGAGAAATTTATAAATATATACTCTTTGATGTATAAAATCAATCATTTCCAATTAATATATTGAAACATCAATAACAATATTTCAAGTGTGACAAGTAATTCAAAATACTGTCCATTTTCCTTCATCTTTGAAAACGCACAATGGGAACGATTAATGGCATGGAAAATGTTTCTCAACGTTAGTAAATATCTCGTTAATCGATCCATCTCTAAGTAATCGAGTTTAGATCGAAATCGGCGAATCTGCGACCCACGACGGCGGTTAATCCGAGACCGGTGATAAAGGAGGACGAAGGTTGGCCGCGAGGTCTAGAGCCGCCAAGGGGGCATCCTCATAAACACGGCAACGGGAGATCTCGCATAGCGGACGCTATCTTTCCCACAGCCTCTTTTCGCGTGGCGTACTGTCTACATACATACATATACATATATATATAAATTGTTATATATGTATATATAAATATATTTATATATATACATATATATATATTGTATATGTATGCAAACAATGTATTAAATCTGTGTAACGTCTCACTTGATTTCTCACCCGCGCTGCGCTTGTAATTCGGAGTATTCGTGACACGCAACCTACTTTCAATCCTTTTCAATTCCTCTCATCATATTGTCCTACCTAACAGTTTTCAGTCTTAAACGCAGAAATTTTTAAATAAAAATCAAATATCTACTTTTAATATTGCCAAAAATTTTTTAATTGAACCTTTTATAATGACTGCAATTAGAAAGAATTTATTTAAATATTTCATTTATTCTAATTTTTTTCTAGTTATCTTAATTACAATGAATTCACTATGTAGACCATTTTTCAATATTTGTAATATATGGAAAAGATGATTTTGCTGAAGTATCTAAATATGTATAAGTTAAATATAGATCTAAAAATAGTTTTGTTGGGCCATCAAAACAATTATGTAGGACGCTCAAATTGGTTGCTAAAATGTCAAAACTTTTTGCAGCATTGCTCATTATGCTTAAGATTATTACGTAATTATTAGATGGTTCAAATTATTTTCAGATCTGTATCTAGCTAAATTTTTAGATATTTCAGCAAAATCGTTCTTTCCATCTACATGAAGGTAACAAAATTCTTTTGTTGCCTTTTCTTTACTTCTTCTACCTATAATAAATATGAAATTTTAGAATTCATATTTCTGTCCTTATCACAAATCAATTTCATTTAAATCCGATATTTTATAGATTTTAGACATTCTTACAATTATTTCTATTTCTTTTTTCCAATTGTTTAAAAATATATAAGTGTATATATATATATATATAAAAACTTTTCTAAAATCAAAAGGAATAAGACTATTCGATGCACTCTTTATATGTTACGTTTAAAATATGGTTTGATAAATGTTACGCAGTACTGTTACAGGAAAGTAAAATTAATTCGATCTTCAAAGAGAAATGATAAAAGGACTTTAGAAACGCGAGAGGGAAAGGGTTTACTGTCATAAATAATTGCGCGCTTATTCTCAAGTGTAATTTCTGTGCTATTTTTGCTGTGTCAGAAGGAATCAATAAGTAAGCTTCTGTAATTCACCGCACGGACAAAGGAATTGTTGATAGACGTAATATTAGTGTCTCGCAAAATGACTGACAAGAAAGACATTTGGAAAAGTCGATACTATCTTGTTCTTAGAACCTATATGACTATATCAGGCATATGGCCGTATCGAAGTCTCCGCGACAGATACATACACTTTATACCAACATTTATATTCTGCTCTAGTATTCTGATACCCCAGGTAAAACACTTACGAGAAAACAATTCACGATAAATTATATTTATGTCCTCAAATTAGTCATTATAATTTTTTTCCTTTAATAAAAACTTTGATGAATTAATGTTGCACAATATTGATCCTAATATAGTTAATGTATGTATTAATTGCCTTAAATATCAATGAGATAATAGAAAGTATAACAGCAGTGATGATCAGTATAATATTCAGTTATAAAATAGCGAGTTTAATGTTTGACAAAAATGTAAGTAATAATTTTAGCAAATTCAATGTTACCGTGACGTAATTAAACTGTTTCTTCTTTAAATCATTAGTATAATAAAAAATATGCAAACGTATATTACATAGATAAAGTCTTGTCTTAAAATAATAGAGGAAGATTGGCTGTCGTTAAATACAGATGTAGAAAGGTCTATTCTGCAACGTCACACTGAATACGGACAATATCTATCGATATCTTATGCAGGTACATCATAGAAAACGTGTAAGGTGTACTTTTTAAATATGCGTACTCATTGATCTATATAACTGTACATTTTTTATTTCCGTTTTGTTATAACTTCTTGAATTTTTCATTTATTCTTTTTAAATTTTAAAAGTTGCTCTAAGTATTTATTATAAAAAAGATGTTCTTGGTAATTCGAAGCAAACGTTTTTAAACCAAGGAAGAATTTTAAGAGGTCATAAAAATGTATTAATATATATTAGTGAAAATATTTCACTAATATAATATGTATTATTTTTTCTAGTTTTCATGCATATGACACAAGTTTTTTACTTGCTCAAACCAGTCATCCTGACGCTCTTAGAAACCGATATCACAAATTCTACAAAAACAATTACATCAAAGTTGCCATTTCGTGTCGAGTACGGTGTGGACATAGACCAATACTTCTACCCAATAACAATTCACTGTTATCTAGCTGTCTTCGCTCACGTATTTAGTACAATCGCGGTTGACTCCTTATATTGTATATTGATCCAGCATGCCTGTGGAATGTTCTCCATCATTGGGTAAAAATATCAGGTTTCACAACTAACAGTCATAAACTAAGATAAGAGTATTTCTTGCACCAACATTTTAGTACGCTTCCAGACATATGCTAGAGGAAATTGGTAAAAATAATGATATTAATTTTCATCTGAAGCGAAATAAAATAGAAGACGATGATTACAAGATGGCACTAGATTGCTTGCGCAGACATCTACAAGCAATAAAGTGCGTATTAATAAAAAATGTGCAATAAATATCGATTAAAAATATAATATCAATTCTCTGTGTTGCTTGTATTCATGCTTAGATTCATGATTTTCTAGATTTGCGGAATTAATCGAGTCTACGTATACAAAGATATTTCTGATCAGCGTTAATCTAAATATGATTGGTGGAAGCATAACCGGTATACACGTATGCATTAATCTTTACACTCTATATTTTATAGAAAATAAAAAATTTCATAATTCGATTACAATTAATACGTATTTCATAAGCACAATAGTTACACTTTCAATAACGAACGCAATTTTCGGAATATCAGATATAACTTCAGCAACGAAAAAATCAAAGATAGTTTCTTCAAAGAAAGAATTAAATTTGTATTCCAGATGGTAATGAATTTAGGCAAAGGTGCTAGGGAGATAGCAGCACCTATGGCTATTTATATTGCGCAACTTGTTCATATCTTTCTCCAGTTCTGGCAAGCACAGTTTCTGTTAGATTACAGTATTATTCCATGCGAATCTATGTAAGAATGCAGGCTTTCCTGTCTTATCATTAATTGTTATATTTGGAATGATACACGAACCTTGCTTTGCACAGCTGCAGAGGAAACTGGTATTATACTTCAAAAAGATGTCAAAATCTTTTTCTTTTGATTATGAATAGAACTATATCACCGTGCAGAATAACTGCCGGCAAAATTATAACTTTATCGATTGAAAGCTTTGGTACAGTAAGTAAAAAAAATTGCATTATTATTTTTAAATTATAGGTCTTTAAAAACCACAGCGTGGTCTCTAATGATATCGATTCTTTATATAACTTTGGAGATAAAATTATAAAAAGATTATGTAACAGTGAATCTTTATCTTCTAAAGGTTTTGAAAACAATGATGTCTTATTTTACGGTGCTACGTTCCTTCCAGTAATGATGCCATTACATCGAAGTAACATACATAATTAATAATACGTCTTTAGCGTAATAAAATTGGGTATAGAATTTTTCTTCGTACTTTATCTCATGTCAGTATTATAACAATAATAAAACTAACACTGAGTTAATTTAAAAATTAAGTCTATACATTTAAATCCACATCTCATCGCGCATACAACATATTGTCTATATTCTGTATCAATGTCATTTATATATGATATCTCAATTTTTACAACGTAAGAAAATTATGCTATATAACTGTATAGCTCATGTTCCATTATTTTTTTTACTTCTATTTACTTTATCCATATATTTTGAACTATTTTAAAGAAATTTATAGTTGTTTTGGAAGACGAAAAAATGTTCGATAAGTTCATTCAATTTTGTTCTCGAGAAATTATTCGGTAAATATCTAAATAATTTTTAAAATTGTTCAAAAATCACGGTTGATTTTGCAAATCATTATATTTCATGAGATTGATTCCAATAAGCTAGTGTATCTTTCAACAGGCTGAATGAATGGTAGCCGAGAACGTGCCACTTCGCTACATAGAAAGATAGAAGGAGAGAGAAAGAGAGCGCCAAGTTGCACCGTTCTATGCCAACGTACCGTTATTACGTACTCTCGATTAAACTCCGAAGAATGGCTAAATAATCGCTTAACCCCTTCGGCTCCCGTGGCTTCTTTGCGTAATGAATCACCCGGATCGCGTCCCTCGGCCGAAGAGGCAAAATATCGAACTCTACAGAGATACGACAGTCGCTGATAGGCCTCGATCGTAAGCCTGGTGTTTCTTTCGAGGGTAGAGAATGCCGAAGAGGCACCATTCCCATCGCGTCTACATGCCGCGAGCGATAAACGCGGCTGCTGAAATCGGACACCTCTAAGCGCGGCCAGCGGCGCGGATCAAGGCGCACTCACACGCTCGTTTGCCCGCTTCGTTGTTCGATCGTCGAAAAAGACCGTTAGCCGCCGACTGAAATCAAGTTGGTACGCTACCATCCCACATCACGTAGTATAATCGTCCGTATTTATTCGCGCCATTACCGGTGCCGATGATGCCCCGGTCTCGAACGAGAGTGTAAAACGTGACAAGGCGAAGTGCAATTCTGTGCAAGCATGCCACCTCTTTGGCAGCGCTTGAAGATACGACTTCGTCATCGTAATTTGAAAATCGACTAACAAAATGTTACAATGTCCAATATATTATCTTTTATATTTGACAAAAGGTTCTCGTAAGAATTAAACTAGGGGAACAATTTGCATCAAATATTTTCTTCAATTTTTTACACGAGACTGGAATTAAATCAGAATTACTTCATTCCTCTCTTCGCGCTTGAAACACTCAAACTATTTTATTTAATTTTAAATTCAACTCTCTCTCTCTCTACAATTATCATATTCAACCGCTGCTCCGAGTTCATTAATACTAAATAATAATTTGTATAAATGCTTTCATTATGGAAAATTAAAAGAAAAGCAAGATATTTTACGAGATGCTCTTAGATAAATATAAATAATTTCAAAAATATTTTTTCATTTTTGGAAAAATTGAAATTATGTATTACAAACAAAACTTTTAATGTTACAGAAAATTATATATAATTACAATTTTTTCTGGCATCTAGATGAAATTATCTAGATAATCAAGATTAAATGGTTTCATCTTATCTTTATTAGAATATATCTTATCTTCATCTGTATCTAGATAATTAGATCTTATTGTTAAATAATTTGAAAAAAGATTACACTTTTTATGTAAGATATAAATGAAGATAATATGAAGCCATTTCATCTAAATTATCTAGATAATTCCATCTAGATATCAATAAATACTATACATAAATCACAAATATTTTTATTGTAATACATATTAAAACATTTCCATACTAAAAATTTAACAGTAAAAAAAAGTAATGTGTAAGCGTTTAAACACAAATTTATTTTTAATACGATGTCAGCATAATAGACGCTACTGACACGAAGATGAACGGATGCGAGTAACTAGTAATTTTCATATTACTCAAGCATAATCGTAAATCTGTATAGCGTTAATACCACTTAGCCAGATACATTATGGGATCGGATCTGCTCGTAACTCCGTGATCATCGATTTCTTTATCTTGCTTTACAACTCTCGCGGCAGATCGAACGGCCTCGTTCGGAATAATGCACGGCAACTAAGAATCGTATCTGCGACCAATCGATCGTAGAGATAACGATGATAATCTTACAGTGGATCGATCGCGATCAATCCATGAAAGCTCCGAAGTAGCGACGCTGGTCGATTAACTAACGGCTTTTTGATATACGCTAAGAATACAATTATCATACGCTAGAAAAAAATTCATTTATTAAATCTGTTGTATTAGTAAGGCAACTGCTCTCGCAAGCAAGAAACAAAATAAGCGTTATCGATATGACACAGCATTGAAATCGCTGTGCTATGAAAACATTATCGCAAGATTTACGAGATGACTTTTTCAGTTACATCTCGAAAAACTTTTATTTTAAACAAAATTAAAATAATTTCATTTAAAAAATTACATCAAAAAACTCTACTTCACTTTTATGCAAAAATTCAAAGAAAAAAATAATTAATTTATGTGAAATGTAAGAATTAGCATATAATTAATAGAACGCAAGTCAAAATATAAAAACTATAATAAATAATCAGTAAATGTCATACTGTTAATAATATAATAATTCCAAAGTCTAATTTAATACTGTCTTTAAAGGTACTGGTTTGAACTAGAATTATCTGGACATGGATCATAATCATGGTCATGATCGAGGAAGGTACAAGGATCCTTTAGTTAAGTTCGCTTAAGGACCATTGCGATGTCGTTGCATTTAAGCAGATTTATTTTCTTTGTCAAAATAAGATTACGAATCACTGTAATCGAGCCGCTTAACCAAATTGTCGGTAACTATCTATCCTATGTATGTAGGCTACACGCCCTGATACGAAGCGATACCCTGCTATGCAACGCCAACATTAAGGAGCCCCTTCGGCAGCCCGTGTTTGTCCCATCGACATCGACGGACAGGCTCTATGACTAACAAGTTTGCACTTTAACGCATAACGGGGCATTCCGCCGTGTACGATAGATCATGGTCCATGACCCGCGGATTGCGTGGGCCGGCCACCATAATCATTCCTCGCCTCGATACAGCGACGCGGCGGCGATGCGGTACCACGAGCATTAAGTTTCCGACTCTTCTTCTTCTTCTTCTTCTTCTTCTTCTTCTTCATCTTCTTCTTCTTCATCGCCTTTCATTCCCACTCCCGCTCAATCTCAATCGCGCTATCTCCCGCATCGAACTCACTCCTTTCGCGATGGCGAAGCCAATTTCGTCGCTTCGATCGAGAGATAATCACGCCACGTGACTAATCTCTTCAGAGACAGTTATTTTGCATTAGATTAAGGAATTATATACAAGTACATAATTTGATTTAATATAAAAAATTTTTCATTATATTTTTTTTTAACTCTTCGTGGACACACCGAGTTTTTCTTGACACAGGCACAGGCGAAATTTCATTCTCAAGTTTCTTGGCATGAATTTTAATTTTTATTAAATAAAGATTTTAGCATTTGAGTTAAATAACTATTTGACAATATAACAGAGATGTTGAAAAGTAATCTTGAATTTTTCTATACAGATTTTTTTAAAGCCTAAAACAGTAAAAAAATTTTGACTGGATAAAAAAGACTCAAGAGTATGGAATAAGTAAAAATATGCGTGTCCATGAAGAATTAATTATTCATATAAAATACATTTTACAAGATGATTAAAAATATATCTGCATATTTTTTTCAAATAAATCTGTTAAATATCGTAAATATGTACAAATATCGTTTTCCCTGAAGAAATTAGCACAGACGTTCACGGCAAGGTAACCTCGACAGTTTTGTAAGAAAATGCAAGTCTAAACGAAATAGTGCGTAACTTTGTGCACACGAGGTATTCGCGAGTGGTACAGGTTGTACCAACCGCGAAGATTAATTTAGCCGCAGCTATAAATAAACGTCGGATAGATAATAAATCGTCCCGCAAAATACGCAGCGCAGATAAATAGATACCTTCGGGGTAACAAAATTCCTTCGCTTTTTCATCGCGGTCGCGCGATTACACATAATTAATCGATCCGGCGCGACATTGGTCAGGGGTACCGCGTCGCATTCAGATTCTGCGATTCGCTCGTAATAGAAATGTAATCCCGGACTATCGGATTTTATCTAGATTGCAAAATCTAAACGACTCAATCGCCGAAGACGTGGTGCATAATCGCGGAACGCGTATCAAAAATGATTACGACCAATACGTCGCTGCCGTAATCATTGTCATTAGCATAATTATCATTATTTATTGGCTAGCAATAATATCATCTGAAGTCACGTGAACGTAACGTAGCTTCACAAACGGGATACCGACGTCATGCATTTTACTTCGAGAATCAATTATAAGTAATGATACGGCACGCAAATGACACGAACGACGTGCGGACCGCTCTGATTAAGCACTGTCGAGAGGAAATACACGACGACATAAATTGTAGGCTGCAATCGAGCGAGACGATATAAGTGTCA